ACTAATTATTTTACATTAGTTATACCACAGGGTAGCGATGTTGCTTTTTTCACCATCGGAATCACGTAATAGAAGCATAAGCTATTCCTTAACGTGTGTCATCCCCGGGTATATGTACTGTTAGTGGGAACAGTATGTGTTCGCGAATCAGAAGAGGAAGCAGAATGAGCACGGGAGATCAGGATGTACTTTTTATTTTTAAAAAGACTCTTCAGATCCAGAATGAACATATGGGAATAAACAATTTAAGAAAGATTTGGAACTTGAAACTGTCATTTGTATTTCCTCTTTATTTACCTTTACTGGTATTTGCAAAAGTTCTGCAGATTTCAAAAATCCAAAGACAGCAATCTTTTTTGAAGGGAAGAATTTCTTGAGCAGCCATAGAATCAGAGGATTCATACATTGGTACAGCATTTTTGCATCATACTAAGTCTGCATATTTTAAGATTTTTTCTAATGAAAAAAATAATGACAATAATTCTGAATATAAAAATGAAATATTGATGGTGTATAAGGCCGGAAGGGACCACTATAACCATTTAGTCTGAGCTCTTGCCAAGGGCCTTCTCAGAATTTAACTTTTTCAACAAGGACTTTTAGAAAAGAACCTGATTTTAACTGAGCATTTTCCAGGGCTGAGGGATTCACTACAATGCTCAGCATGTGATCGCCATGGCCAATGACACATTACTAAAACAGCAAAACAAAAGATAAACTTTATTTCTAATCTGAATATGATTGATATCAGCATTCGAATACTGGGGTTTTTACTGCATCCATCTCCTCAAATGCTGTATATTATCAAAGTCACTTTCCTGAAGCATGTACTCTGTGTCATCAAGTTATTCCTGAACTATCTTTTCGATAAGTATATGGAGTGATCGCTAACTGTTTCTGAGCGCAAGGCAAAAATTTCCAGGTCTTCAGTCATTTCCAAGTTTCCTTCCATGTCTCCTGCGCACCTGCTGAAACATACGGACATTTGGTTGAATTGCAGCCACTGTCTCAACCAGGATTGTGCCAGGGTGAATCGCTGAGGAAATGTATTCCTGATAAACTCATAATTATTTCTGATTAGCACACTTATTATCCCTTTTTAGCTTCCTCACCAACTTCTACCTCATGTTCAGAATATCATTCACTAGAACCTATTAAATCAAATATAGCCATGATTGAATCCTGCGTTCTGTGCAGTAAGTAGCAAATCTCTCCTGGACTTCTACGGAATCAGGATTAAGCACTTAGCCTATTTAGGGGTTTGACATCTTATTATTTGATATCTGGCCTTCTGTCATCTGTCATTGTTTTCATTATTATTGCGCTGCTATGTTCCTTTCAACAAGCGATTGATGCTTATTATTAACAGTCCCCCTGTTGACGCTTCGTTCAGATTCTGAACTAATGCATTTTTAAATGAGCTTCTATCATGGATTTAGAAGAATGCATATAAGAATATAATCTTCTGTTTTCAAGCTTACAATACTTACTTACCTCTTGCTAGATTCTTTTCCTTTTCTTGTGCAAAAAGTATTGAATGTGATTCCCAGTAATATAGTCTGATTTTTTTTATGCACAGTGTTAATGAGTATGTCTATTCTTAGTATGCGGTCATAAATTACTATCACCTATAAATTTCTTTTTTCTCCTTTGCCTGCTTGCATCTTTTTGATTAGCATAGGACTGTTATAAAAAATAGAGTTGAAGAAGGCCTTATTTTATTATCGGCATTTTTCTCTGTTATGAAATTCTGATTAAACTGTTTTCTTGCTGATTCGCTAGCCCATGCTGTCCTTTTGTACTTGTTCGTCTCAGTTGAAATCCTTTATTTTTCTCTGACACACCAACAGTAGAATATGGCCACATAATTTGACATTTTTTCTACATGTTCTGACATGATGATACAAATCTGGAATATTACATACACATACACACACACACACACACACGCTGTACATGATGTATACATATACATACTCACAATTCCGTAATGGAAAAATGTGCATTAGAAAATCAGCAGCCGTGGTGGTATCAGTTGTGATTGCCATGGCAGTTGTCATTAACTCACCACAAATAGTCTGTACAAATCCCCCAGCTGTAGTTGGTAATTAACTTCTTACTCTGCACATACACACACACACACACACACGCTGTACATGATGTATACATATACATACTCACAATTCCGTAATGGAAAAATGTGCATTAGAAAATCAGCAGCCGTGGTGGTATCAGTTGTGATTGCCATGGCAGTTGTCATTAACTCACCACAAATAGTCTGTACAAATCCCCCAGCTGTAGTTGGTAATTAACTTCTTACTCAGGTCACTTTTATTTTACCTGCCTGCTATGCTGTGTTCTGTAGGTCTTTAACTTGGAAGGTGTAGCAAGGACACTGTCATGACAGAAAGTGGGTTCAGGACCTTCACCTATAAACTCTTTGACTCAGGTAAGGTTGCTTATTGTGTAGTGCCCACTACAGTGGGATCCAAACTTAGTTTAGCATTTATCCACGGTTTGGTATAAACAATAAAATAGCATTTTACTGTCTAACCAGATAAAGCATGCATCACCATGAACTATTCTTACTGTATCTGACAAAGGTCTTGATGTGCATGTGGAATAGCACTGTTCTCTACGACACAAAAAAAAAACCCCAAAACAAGCCAACCAACCAAAACAGCTTAGAGATGTAAATCCTTTCCATAACTGTAAAGACAATCAGTTCAAAAAAGTGGGATTCTTCTAGATTTCATTTTTATATTTTGCATCATCTTAATCCTTTTTACATTTTAGTTCATTACGCAGCTGTAATGTATATTGGCAAACAGGATTTTTTGTTTTATTGTAAAATATTAAAATACAATCTTCAGACTGAGATCTTCGCTGCATTTTAACCTCATTTGATATACATAAGGGGATTCTTCAGACCTGGGTGGAAAAAGTGTATGTTTATGATTTATCTGTGCTCCTGTTAAAGATTGGCAATATTACACTAAAGTATTTATTGAAAGTGAATGCCGGTACATCTCATCGTCCAGGGCGCAGTGAGGACTACCTGAATGCAAGCTTTCCTCTGATATCTTAATCTATCAATTGTCACAGTGACACTGTTTGCTCCTCTCACGGAGTTCAGCCAGGGGTTTTACCGTGGAGCACAAAACCTGACTACAGGGAGGGACTAGGCTGGGGGAGAGAGCAAGGCAGGGCTGTAGTCACTCTGCCGTTCCACCCAAATAACGCGATAGGGTCTGTAAGCGCATGATGTTAAAGCTCTCTCTCTCTCTCTCTCTTTTTCAGGCTCACCTCATTTTGTGGTGAGAGAGAGATGATGGCACAAGTACAGACAGAAGCTAGTACAGAATTTCCTGGCGAAATGACTCCAAGGAAACTAAACTCGTCATGAATTAGTGATGGGTAAAGGGCCTCAAACTGCCTACTTCCTATGTGTTCAGGATATGTACCTATATTGACATCTGAGTAGCTGAAGCTTCGAGACCTTTCTTTGTCTCTGGAAAGGAGAATTAAGACAATTTAATAATGAAAAAAAAAAAGGAAATGCAATGCATGATCAGTAGCCTTTCCTACATGGATATTCCTCACCCTTATTAACCAAAAAAAAAAAAAAAAAAAAAAAGGTGGTGCATTTAAAATGGCCCCCCCAACTTAACAAATTCATTTTCACAGTCACAGTATTGCTACACTGTTTCTTCTTCTATAAGGTATGTGTGTGTGCCCGTGTGTGTCCGTGTGTGTGTGTGGTGCATAGCAACAGACTTTGTGCCAAACTGAAAAATGTTAAATTTAGCTTGCAGTAAATAATATAGCTGGAACCCATCTTGAAAAAAAAAATCCCCATTATACATGAAAATGAAATATCTGGGTAGGTTTAAACCTGCCTGCATATTAACTCTTCTGTTTTGGTTACGGCAGTTAAAAATATGCTTTTCAGGTGTACCTGGAAGGTGGCTACGTCCAGATGTCATCCTAATGAAGACTACTGAAATTAAT